CTTCTATGTTCCAGGCACGCGTTTTTTTTTTTTTTTTTAAATTTTCATTGATTTGAGCTGTTGATCTAAATTTGATCAACTGCTCAGATTTAACCGCACAACCGCACGGGAAGCTATACCCGCACCTAAACCCTTCCATATATATATATATATATATATATATATATATATATATATATATATATATATATATATATATATATATATATATATATATATATATATATATATATATATATATATATATATATATATATTGAGGATATTATAGTAAATTGATCCATATAACCCTTAACAAACCAGGTAGTATTATATTACACAATCCAATCCAAATCAAACACATAAGATAATCTTACATTCCCAAAATCTCACATTACCTTCCTGGAGGTCAGGTAATCCTATTACCTGGGATAATGTAAGATTCTGTGAACTAAACGCCCCCTTATGGTAAAATCCTATTTTAGGTAAGGGTATCACTACTGGAAATTATGAAATTTCCGACCACCTGAAAGTGATCTTAAATCAAGTCGAAAGTCTTGTTCCGATCACTTTTGGTATCCGGAAAAACCTTTGTTGCTATTTCCGACCACTTTTTGGCAGCTGGTAAGAAATTTCATAATTTCCAGTAGTGTATTTTCATTTCTTAAATTTTTTATTTTCTGGTTTTCTAACAACTATGGAGCTCAGTCTTCTCAACAAGTTATGATGGCAAAGAGGAAACACATTCTGCATCCGTCGTCGCCGCTACCGTTGGTATTATTAAGCTAAAGGTGAGAGATTCCCTATAAACATCATCAACCCTAGCCAGAAAATTATTGATGACCTCCATGTCAATGGCATCTTGTTTTGATTTTTTTGGCCATCTTATAGAGCCAACGTTGCCGCTCTCTTTTCTGTGTCCTACTCATCTCACCACAACACATCGTCGTCTCTGAGGGATATATTTGAAATATAGGGCCCAATAATAGGAACCCGAGTCTAGGAGTGCATAGCCCAAAATCAAGGAAGATAGCCCGAGCGGTTGAGGCCCAGAATGATGGGCCTTGACTTAATCTCACGGGTTCATCGCAAATTATGCCATGGAATCGTGTTCACCGAGAATGGTGAACACAAGGCAAAACGACGTCGTTTTTAGGCAAAAAAAAAAATAAATTCGCGGATGTGGAGTTAACGGCGCACGTTTGATCAAATTATGAATTTTCTGTTATGAGATTATGAATTTTATGAAAATTCATAATCTCATAACAGAAAATTCATAATCGCATAACAGAAAATTCATAATCTCACAACTGAAAATTCATAATCTCATAACAGAAAATTCATAATCTTATAACAGAAAATTCATAATCTCATGGTTCCAAAGTGAATGTGTAGGCATGGTTCCAAAGTGAATGTGCAGGCATGGATTCATAATTTATGAATGTCTGTGATTTCGGACGGGAATGTGTAGGCATGGTTCCAAAGTGAATGTGCAGGCATGAATTCATAATTTATGAATGTCCGAAATCTTTGTTCACCTCAAATTAAAGTGAAACCGCAAAATGTGAAAATAAAGAAGAAAAGTCACGCAATTAATTAAAAAAAAAAATAACGGTGTACTAACACCGTTGGAACCGTGTTCACCATGAATGGTGAACACGGTTCCATGGCATAACGTCCCCGGGTTCATTAGGTGGGCTTCGACTTAGTCTGTGGCCTACCATGACTTTAGGAGAGTTTGTTGGCTCATGTCTTGTATAAATATTGCGTTGTCTTGTCATTTCAAATCATGTTCAATGACATCGTCATCCACTCGTTCTCTTGTCTAAACAACTATTGTAATACTAGTATCCGTTGTAATCATCTTACAACATATTATCGATGCGATATTGTCCCCGCAACATATATCTACTCGCTACTTTGTCATTATTGTCCCCGCGACATATATTTACTCGCTACTTTATCATTATTTTATCCTTATTTTCCATATCATTCTTGTTCCTTAATTATTGAATTTGATAATTCAGACTCCCGAATTAATTAAATTCATCAGGCAACGACGGCAAGTCCTTGCTGGCACTATCCACCGCACTACTTTAGAAGGTGGCGCAAGTAGGTTGTTCAATTTACTTCGCAATTTTTTTTTCTTCATGGACTTGATTTATCAATGATGAGTGGTTTCAATAATCCCCAGAATGCCGCTATTAGGCCAATGAAATGGAATGTTTATGCAATACCTGAGAATTCATCAATGATTTTGATGACTCTTATTTTATGCTCCGTACTATAAATCGATCTTTTTCCAGATTTAGAGAGATAAGGAGACATTAGTAGTTTTAGGTTATTTCTATTTCTTCTTTAGTATATTCGTTCTCTAGCTTCAATATTGTCATTCTTAGATTAGATTGTTACATTTCTTTTGTTTAATCGTTGTGAATTTTACATGATTGAGAATTTATTATTGCTTGATGTTGGTTTTCTTGGATACTCTCGCTATTTACTTATATGATATGATGAGTGAGTAGTCTTTTGTAGGGTTTGAATTGAGGTTTATATTTAATTTTATATCTATTGCTAAGAGGGTTTAAAACCCCACCTATGGTTCTTGTTCTAGTGACATTTTCTTGTGTGCTTGTATTCATGAGTTTGTGCACAATTTTGTCAATGTTTTTCTAGTATGAGATTTGGTAACCGTTCGAACAGAGCGTCCACTAGTTAATATACCTTTAGACTCGTCTGATCTCTTAATAGTCAATTCTCATTAAACTCCATCTCACGACCTTTAAGTTCACTTACAAAAGTAGGAATATTAAAGGTCATGATTGCGCGAGCCTATTGTGGAGACTTGGTAGCATCACGAAAGTGTGACAACCCCACTTTCCGATTCGGCCTAACATTGGATCAAGAAAATGACATGTTAGTACACCAATTTAGTGTTGGCAATCTTTGAACACAGGATTGAGTTTTATTTCCCTTTATTTTTAGCCTTGGCATGAAATCAAATGTTTCCTCATTCCAACCCCTACCTTAGTCATTTTATTATGTTTCGTATTTCCAACTTCTATTTCTTCGCTTGCTTAGCTTCCAATGAATGTATTTATCTTTGTTCCTAATTGTTTCATCGGTTATGCCTAAACACCAATTCTTGATAACGATCTTTAAACAAATTTATTTTTGTTTGTTCTGCAACCACTATATTACACTACAATAAGCTAGGTTTCATCGGTGGTTTGCTAGATTCGATGGTGGGCATGGCATCTCCGGCGATGATCTCCAATAACCAACAAGTCTAGAGTCTAGACCCATGATTTTCTTGGCGTGGGTGGTGGCAATGGCTACGGTGCCAACGCCACTCCCTTTTTTGGTAGACTTGGGTTTCCTTAGGCATATATGCGAATGAATTATCATATCACTTGTTGAGAAGATTTGAGCTTCATAACTTTTAGAAAACTAGAAAAGAAAAAATTGAAGTGATGAAAATGTCCTTGCCTAAAATAGGGCTCACCAGAAAATTCATCGAAAGGATCAAAAGTGATAGTGTGGGATGTTAAATAGCAAAAACAATAGTCTAACTAAATTTAGAATTGCCACTAAAGAAAATGATCACCTATGAAATTAACTTTTTTTTTTTCATATTTATTTACTGGTTTATTTACATAGGAGTGCTTTGGTAATTTTGGTTTGTGTTTTGAAGGCGGGGATGATTATACATGGAAGTTATGCTTGAGTTTAGGAGTTGAATTTGTGATAAATTTTGATTTCCTTGTTGATGCACTCTACTTCATTTGGGGTTCTTTCTCCATCTTGATTTGAGTTTTTGCGTTTCTTTGTTTAGCCATGAACTCAAGTTGATTTTTGAGTTTTTAATTGTTTATCATGTGAGTATAATATTATCTATATTTGTGATTGAGCTATGTGTAGTTTTCGCAAGTAATGTACTGGTGTGCACTGTGGCCTCCGTATGTCTGCATTTGCATTGTACTCCCGGGTCCTCCCAACTATGTTTTCGTCGTATGTGTGTACCTCGTAGTGTCCTAGTGTGCACTTTTTGTATCCATGTATGTGTTTGATCATATCAACGGGTAAATAAAGTGCATAAATAAAAAGAAGAAGTGAGAGATATTTTTATAGTGGTTCGACAATAACCTACTCCGATCCACTCTTCTCCTTAAACTCTAATGAGGTTTTTACTAGTATTGTTCTAAATACAATTGAACAACGTAACTTGAAGACATCAGCTGGTTTACTTTGAATTTCCTGCTCTACTGGTTGAATCTGTTGGCCCGTTGTCTTTAGTTCAGCTGATTTGTTGTAGTTGATGCTTTGCCAGCATCCAGCTAATATACTAAGCTAATCAACTTGAACAACCTCAATTAAGCTTATAAGTTTTTGGTCTATACTAAGCTTCCTAAGTTTTTGGTATTTACTTCAGTAATTAATGTCATCAATGACAAATGAACTATTAATTTCATTTCTAAAATCACTTCCTTCCTGACTAAATTAAATAAAGAAAGATTGGACAACTTGTGATTTAGTCAACTCTATCACAAGTTAATAAATAATCGACATAAAAAAAAAAATCAAAGTCAAAACTAATTAATTAATATAATAATGATATTTTAATAAATAATGTTACATAATAATTTTAGTAAAGGAATTTTCACCCAAAAAAAAAAAAAAAAAAAAAAAGCAAAGGAATTTAGTATGACACCACTACAGGATTTTACAGCAATATACAATATCAGCGTTGTCATTTTACACTTGACTAAGGCTCTGTTTTGTAACATAGTTAGCTTATCAGCTAATTTTGATTTATTTGACCACTATTAGTTGTTTAACTTGGTTAAACAATTAATATGAGTGTTTGATTAATTAGCTTTTTGTAACAGATTATTGCTCCAAAATGCTAAAATTCAAAAAGCTGCTCTTCGATCAGCTTTTTGAAAAAATCATTTTGTATGTAATCAACTAATTTATCAAACACTTTTCTACAATCAAATAATGTTATCAACTAATCAAAACCACTAACCAAATCAGCTATCAGCTATTTACCAACGTCCCCTAAATAGTTGATCATCTATATATCTAGCTTCCAATATTGTTAGCGTCTCTGCATTTTCAGCGACTCTTCCATCCTGCGCCGTTTCTGCGACGGCTTCTTCTTGACTGGATTCAGTTGAACCTCTTTCCACAAAAAAACCCGGTTCTCTCGGTTCAGCCAAATGAACATCCTCGTTGCCCAGCATGAACACTACAGAGGCCATGTTTGGCCGGTCTCCAGGGAGTTTCTGAACACACAATAGCCCTACTTGAATGCATCTCAGAACTTGAGATTTAACACATGACTCTTCTTCTAGGCTTTGGTCCATTATTTCCATGGCCCTGCCTTCTTTCCACAATATCCATGCCTTAAAAATAAGAACAAAGTTAATTAATAAAACTTATTATTATAAGTAGTGAACAAATATAGAACTGGAAATCTTGGACTGCAATTATATTAGTGATTACATGTCCCAACAGATTATGAAGATGATCCGAATTACGAAATGTCCTGTTTTTCCTTCCACTGACTAGTTCTAGTATCAGCACACCTAGACTGAAAACGTCTGATTTAACTGAGAATTCCCCGTCTATGGCATACTCTGGAGACATATACCCACTGTCATAAATTCATTGTAGGTTAGTAAATGGCAGCATTTCCAAATGAAATTCGAATTCAAGTTGAAATGATTCCTACAAATTAAAACTAGAACTTACTATGTTCCGACTACACGTTTTGTTTTTCCTTCGTTTTGGTCTAAGCCGACTATTCTGGCAAGACCAAAGTCAGAAATCTTAGGGAGAAAGTTGTTGTCGAGTAAAACGTTGCTGCCTTTAAGATCCCTGTGAATGATTCTTAGTCTCGAGTCTTGGTGAAGGTAAAGAAGGCCACGAGATATCCCCATTACGATTTCAAAGCGTTTTTGCCATCCAAGTTGTGCTTTTCTGCTTGGATCTGCATGAAATTGGAGTGAATTATTTAGTTCATGCTCAGCTCATTCCAGGGATCATGATCTCCAAGCTAAGGCTTATCAGAAGACAAAAAACACAAAAAAATGAGTTAAAGGAAGCAGACCAAAAATGAAATGATCCAAACTATTATTGGGCATGAATTCATAGACTAAAATCCCCTCTTCCCCTTCAATGCAGCAACCTAAAAGCTTGACAAGGTTCCTATGTTGTAGTTTGGAAATCAGATTGACTTCTGTCTTTAACTCTTCAACACCTTGCACAGAATGTTTTGAAAGCCTCTTCACTGCTATCTCTTGTCCAGATGCCAACTTACCCTGCAATTTTGCATTTATTTTTTCAATGGAAAGGGCTTTCGTTTCTTATTCAAACATTCAGATCAGAGTAGGATGAAAGCGGCTATGGTACCTTGTAAACCGGCCCAAATCCGCCCTCTCCAATCATGTTTTTTGCGGAGAAGTTCTTAGTGGCAGAAGAAACAGTGGCCAAATCAAACAATGGCAACTCCATGTCTTTATCATTAACTAAACCTGTAAATTAAACCAAGAAAGCAGTTTACACATATGATTGAATAATGCATAATCATTACCAGAAACTGACTAAACCTTAATTTTCTCTTTAATTACCTCTTTTTGTTCTTCTCTTGGCTGCACACCAGCAGAAAAGACCGATGAGTAATGTCCCTATGACAGTTGGCCCGATTATAATCCGCATCAATCTCTTTTTCTTTTGGTTTCTATCTGCATCTGTATCATGAATCATGATCAGTCAAGAAATTCAGGTGGTTATGGTGCCTAAAGGTATTGAGCATATAACCATTAATGTGCAATTCAACTATCAGCTTAGACTTTTAGTTGAGATAGAGCACATGCTTCAATTTGGTATCAGAGTCATGCCAAAGGTCATTCGACCGCACACGTGACGGAGTGTGTTGAGCATATAATAACAATTCAGCTATCAGCTTAGACTTTTAGGAAGAAATTGGGTTTACCTAGTTCAGATGCAGCGACTCTGACATACAAAGTCTGTTCATTTTGGGTTAGCTCCCTCAAATCCATAAGATCACTAAAATATAGCAAGCACCCACTTCCATCACTGGCATCAAGATTGGAATAAGCAGTGCAAGAACAATTCTCCAGGCACCTCTTCTTGCATTCCTTAAGGTCAATGTTTTTGTCGTACCAGGAATGTCGAGAATCGGGCATTTTAATCCCGGAAAACTCCCGGAATCCGTCTTTATTATCACCACCACATGCCAGGGGGGTCCGCCGCTCACATCCGCTCGTCCAATCCGCGCCGTTCCACTGCGCCGGAAACTTGGGCTGAAACCCTCTCAGGCAATCACACGGCGGGGAGTTATTGATGCTGCAGCTGGCGTAGGGCCCGCACAGCCCGTAACGGTCGCAGTTGTCTAACTGCGCCGTCAGGTAGACCGACCAGATCTGGGTCCGTTCGATCCAGGTGAGATGCTGAACCACGCCGGTCGGGATTATAACCGCCCTGGTCGGGAGCGAAGTGTTCTTAACCTCGTACGTGTAATAAACCTCGTCCGATGTGATTACTAATTTGAAGGTGAAGTAGGTGTCCGGCTTCAAAACTGGGCTTCCGGTGAACGCCATGCCGTCCCAGGGGCCGGAGCTGTATTGTAAAACAGAGCCTTTATTCACGAAGAGCTGTGGGTATCCATTAATGTCCAGGCTGGCACGATAATCCCCCGGAGATGGATCGTCGGCGGTTTTCCACGATGAGATGGACCAATCCAGGCCGTTGACTAGGTTCTTCCCGAGCTTCATCCCCGGCAACAGAGTATTTCCGGGATAATCAAAGCTCTGCCACGCAAAATTCCCCTTTTCATCCTTGATCACAAGATTCCCTCCGTCGGAAAGCCACGCCACCGGATTCTCCAAGATTCTTGAAGAATTGGACGACCAAACCGTGCGATTAGTGCCGCCGACAATCACCAAATTCCCCTTCTCATTAATCATCAACACACCCGAAGTGTCGTTTAAGGGGGCATTTCTGTTGGCAACCCAAACAACCGTTCGGAAGGATATCTTCTTGTACCAAATCCCAACGTAACGACTCGCCGAGTCTCCGCCGCTGAAAAATCCCAACTCGTAAATCCCGGCGGCTGACACCACGGTTTCGCCGTCTCTGAGTGGCCGACCGGAAGTTATGGTGTCTGCGGAGGTGGAAATTATGAGGAGAACAGAGCAGAAGAATTGAAGTGCCGTCTTTTCGTTGGTCATGGCTGTTTCATTGGTTGATTGTTGAGGTTTTACTTTAAAGCCTTCCTGGTCAGAAATGCCAGAATTGTTTATTTCTTGTTTTAAATTGCTGCCATTGTAGGACCAAAAGTAGTTGGACTTCAGAATTTGCACTGCAACTGTCATTAAATGTTTTTCTTATCCACCAATAACTAACCTATTAAATCTAGATCTATGAGACTATAAGCAACATATTAAAAATTAAAAATCACATAAACTTTGATTACAAACAAATAATGTGAAAAAAATCGATGAAATCTCACATTGTTTTTTAAATTAAAATGACCAAAAGTAAAAGATAAAAGAAGCCGTACAGTTATAGTGACATGTTCCATAGGTGTGCCGATGAGATTAAAAAAAATAGGAAAAAACTATTTGCAAAATCACAATTATAGTTTGACCCATTAGTGCATAGAAAATGGGGATTTGTTTTTAACTGTTGAAATAAACAATAATAATTTACACCCTTCGAACTTATTTGATGGTCAACGACTTTGGGTATCTGCCAGGGGAGTTAGATCTATTCTGATGTGCTGAATATTTGAACTAGTCTTCTTATTTACTGTTTTAGTACACTTACACATTTTTGTTAGGATCGATATGGTTCACAACACCAAAATATAGCGGCAATTCGGACTGAAAATAATGAGAATATTTCTAGTATAAGATTTAAATAAATCATACACAAAATAAAGGCAATTTGAAGAAGGATTTTCTATATTGGCAAAAGGATATTACAATAGGAATTACAATATAACTCTCTATTTTACTCTCTATATTTTTGCTATGCTAATGGGAGAATTCCTGATGGAATGGGATGAGATTGGATGAAGAGGAGTTGCCTATTTATAGCAAACCATCTCCTGCAACTTCATCTTGCTCTTTCTCCTGCTCTTCCGAAATGAGCATCTTGCTCTTTCTCTTGCTCTTCCGAAATGAGCATCTTGCTCTTCAGAGATGAGCATCGTGCTCTTAAGAGATGAGCATCGTGCTCTTAAGAGATGAACATCTTGCTCTTCAGACCAAGTGTTTGCTCCTGCTCCTAACCTCATCAGAAAAAGGTTCTGCCCATTTCCACATTTGACTTTAGTATTTACAAATCTCCCACTTAAAGTCACAATGTGGACCTTCATCCTTTTTGCCAATTCCGTGCTGTTTGCATACTTGTTAGGCCAATTGAGGATCTACACCATACGAATTTATCGTTGGTAACCGGCTTTGTTAACATATCTGCCAGGTTATCTTTAGTATGGATTTTCTGTATATCCACACTCCCTTCTTCCACCTTTTCACGAACAAAGTGAAATTGGACCCGTATGTGTTTCGTCTTGGAATGAAATGCTGGATTCTTTGTCAAGTACAAAGCGCTCTGACTGTCACAAAATAGAGTCATTTTCTCTAATTTGTGCCCGAGCTCCTCCAATAGCATTTGCAACCATATAGCCTCTTTACTAGCTTGAGTAGCAGCTATATATTATGCTTCTGTCGTCGATGTTGCCACAACAGACTGCAACTTCGAGACCCAGCTTACTGCTCCGCCAGCAAGAGTAAACACATAACCCGTGGTGGATTTGCTACAATCAAGATTACCTGCATAATCTGAATCAACATAGCCTCTAATGATGAAGTATGATCCTCCATAACACAATGCAATATCTGAGGTACCCTTGATATATCTAAGGATCCTCTTCACAGCACTCCAATGCTCTCTACCAGGATTTGCCATGTATCGACTGACCGCTCCCACTGCTTGTGCAATGTCTGGTCTAGTGCAGATCATAGCAAACATTAAACTGCCCACTGCTGATGCATACGGTACTCGAGACATCTCCATCCTCTCTGCTTCGTTGCTAGGACTCATACTTGAGGATAACTTGAAATTAATAGAAAGAGGGGTAGAAATTGGCTTACAATCTTGCATGTTGAAGCGCCGCAAGATTTTCTGCAGATAATTCTGCTGAGAAAGCCAAATCTTCCTATTATTTCTGTCTCGGTGAATTTGCATCCCTAGAATCTTGTTTGCTGGTCCTAAGTCCTTCATTTCAAATTCCCTAGCCAGTTGAGCCTTCATCTCCGTGATACGATCATTGTTGGGGCCTACTACCAACATGTCGTCAACATACAACAGCAAGATGATAAACTGATTATCATCAAATCTCTTGCAATATGCGCAAGGATCAGAATTAAACCTGTTGTATCCAAGGCTCAGAATGAATGAATCAAATCTCTTATACCAACATCTCGGCGCCTGTTTGAGACCGTATAGAGATTTGGTCAACCTGCAAACCAAGTTCCCTTCTTCTTCAAAACCTTCTGGTTGGAGCATGTAAATCTCTTCTTCAAGTTCTCCATGTAGAAACGCAGTTTTCACATCCAACTGCTCAAGATACAAGTCAAACACAGCACACATCGCTAGGACTGCTCGAATCGTTGTAAGTCGTACAACAGGAGAAAATATCTCGTTGAAATCAACTCCTTCCTTTTGAGCAAATCCTTTCACAACTAATCGACCACGATACCGTTCCACTTGATTGTTGCTATCGCGTTTGATCTTATAGACCCATTTGTTTCCAATAGCCTTCCTTCCTCGTGGTAACGGGACAAGTTCCCATGTTTTATTCTTATGGAGAGCTTCGATTTCTTCTTGCATTGCTGTCATCCACAGAGATGCATCTGGACCTTTTATAGCCTCATGGTAAGTTAATGGCTCACCATCTTCTGTTAGTAGACAGTATGCAACATTTCCCTCCATGGAATAATCTGAGTGCCAAGCTGGTTCTCTCCTCTCCCGAGTTGATCGTCGAACTTCTGAAGTTGAAGACTCAGCTTGATCTTGTTCATCATGCTCTATTGCTGTTTCAGGGGAAACTGGAATTTCTTCTTCCTTCCTTCCATCAACTTGTACTGTTGTTGTCACTGGTTTCTCCTTTCCAGTGCTTTCACCTTCTTGTACCTTCCCTTCTACAAATAGAACATCCCTGCTGATGATAACCTTGTGGGCAGTGGGATCCCACAGGCGATACCCCTTCACTCCATCAGCATATCCCAAGAAAATGCATCTTCTTGACTTTGGATCAAGTTTTGATGTTTCTTGAGCGTTGTATACCACATATGCCGGACTCCCAAATGTATGTAAGTGAAAATAACTACTTGGCTTACCCGTCCACATCTCCATTGGCGTTTTCAGATCAATTGCGGTTGATGGTGACCAATTGATCACATAACAGGCGGTCTTGACTGCTTCAGCCCAAAATGAATTTGCCAAATTTGCAGTCCTCAACATTGCTCTTGTTCTTTCTAACAAGGTTCTGTTCATCCGCTCTGCCACTCCATTTTGTTGTGGAGTATACGCCACCGTGAACTGCCGTTTGATACATTCTTGTAGACAGAATTTATCAAACTCATCACTAGTATATTCTCCTCCATTATCCGACCTCAAACACTTGATCCGTTTCTCGGATTCAAGTTCCACACGCGCTTTGAAGAATTTGAAAACTTCAAATACATCCGCCTTCCGCTTGATTGGATACACCCAACATCTCCTCGAATAATCGTCTATGAAGGATACAAAATACTTTGCACCTCCCAGGGATATAACTGGTGCTTGCCAAACATCGGAGTGGATTAGCTCCAAGATAGCCTTGCTCCTTGCTTTAGAGCTCTCAAACTTCAATCTATGCTGCTTACTTGTAACACAATGCTCACAAAAAGGTAATGAAACCTTTTTTAACCCTGGAAGGAGATGTTGATCAGCAAGAATCTTTAGACCTCGTTCCGACATGTGGCTAAGTTTTTGATGCCACATCATCGTTGATTCCTCTATAAGATTGTCTGATGCAACGACTGCTTCTCCTTGTAGTTGTGTTTCTCCTTTAAGCATGTATAGATTGGCCGCTATCTTTTCAGCTTTCATCACAACAAGCGCGCCCTTGATTATTTTGATGATCCCATCCTGAATGTGAATTTTACATTCACAGTTATCTAATTGTCCTAAAGACAATAGAATTTTCTTCAGGCCTTTCACGTGTCGTACCTCTTGGATAGTGCGAACCGTACCATCAAACATTTTTAGTTTGATAGTACCAATGCCAGCAATCTCTAAGGCATGATCATCTCCCATGAAGACTGATCCTCCAGAGACAGGTTCATATTCATGAAACCATTCTCTTCGTGAAGTCATATGCCTTGTTGCTCCGGAGTCCATGAGCCAAACATCAGCTAGACTTTTCCTGCCTTCAACAATTGTTGCTGCTTCACCAATTAAAACATCGCCTCCATCCGATGTACTCACAACACATCCCTGAGCATTTGATGTCTCGGGATTTTTGCCTCTGGCCCCATCCTTCTTGAGCTGCCAACACTCACTCTTGAAGTGCCCCTTTTTGCCACAGTGAAAACACTTGACATTCTTCTTACCCCTTGACTTTGATCTACCTCGGTTGTGACTCCCACTGGAGCCAGGCTCCGTTGATCTTCCTCTTATCACTGTCAACGCCTGAGACTGTTGTGAGGTTCTAACTTTATCTTCTTTGTTTTTGCGCCGACTTTCTTCTTGAAGAACCGCAGCTGCAATGTCATCGAAGACAAGTACCTCCTTGTTGTTGACTAGATTGATAATGAGTTGATCGTATGAATCTGGTAGACTTTGGAGTAAAATTTCAGCACGTTCATTCACATCTATTTTATAACTCAACGCCGAGAGTTGTGAAAATAGAGTGTTAAGAGTGTTGATGTGCTCAGTTACTGAGGATGTCTCCATCATCCTGAGAGTGTATAGCTTCCTCTTCAAGAAGATCTTGTTGTGCAGTGATTTGGCCTCATACAAATTTACGAGAGTATCCCATATCTCTTTTGCCGTACATTTTTCCGCCACACTTGACAAAACTTCATCAGCAAGTGCTAAGTGCAAATTGGCAATAGCGTTGCTATCCATTTCTGTCCACTTGGCATCGTCAGTGAAATCGGCTGGTCTTTCTTCAATTGCTGCAACACAGTTATCTTTCCTGAGAACTGCTTTCATTCTCATCTTCCACAACGAGAAACTGTTCCCATTGAACTTTTCAATCTCGTACTTTG